GTGTGTGTGTGCTAGTGTAGGAATGGGTGAACTAAGGACAAATAAGAGTGAGCGAAGACTTACTTGGGCGCCGCGAGGTCCACTACGTAGCAGAGTGGGCGACACCCACTGTGGGGCGAGATCCAAGCGTGGCGATGCCGGATGTAACAAGAGCTTGACTAACCGATTAGCTGGGCGATGCCAGATCTGTAGCTAGATCTTTCATGGTTTGAACTTCGTTATCAACTTATTTGACCTCCCATCATGCTCTCGTATCTATTCAAACACCAAAATTCAACAAAAAACTCCTTAGTACCTAAAAACAAAAAAGAAAAATCTAACTAAGCTAACTAAACTATGAATTGGATTGCCTCTCAACAAGCGCCTTAGTTAACATCATGGAATGATGTTTACAATATTACCATGGGTTGCCTACCATGAGGTGCCTGATTGAACGTCGCGGAACGATGCAAAATGTTCCATCAAGCATCCACCATGTCTATCAAAGTTTGGAGACGATGAACACCCCTACCCTAATAGTGTTTAACTCTTTGCTCTTTGACGAATAATGTGTCAATATGTATGGGATACCTAAGTTCTAGATCTCCATGCCTTGTAGAACAAACTACCTTAAATGGACCACACCATCGAGGTTGGTGCTTTCTAGGGAAGAGCTTCAATCTCAACTTAAGCACAAACATGGATTGATCCGACTCAAATTCACAATGCACAAGGTTCTTGTCACGTAACGTCCTTATCTTGCCCTTACACAATTTTACATCTTCAACCCACTAAAGCTTTTCAGGCTCACTTCTCTTTTTGATGGCATCAACACTCACATCAACCCTGGGCTCTATTACCTTTGGTTCAATCACCAGATCATGCATAAGTCCTCGTAATGCTTAGGAAGGTTGAGTGCCTTGTACACATTAAATGTAACTTCTTCATCATGCACACTCATCTTTAGCTTGCCTTACCTCACATAAATAAGTTCTCCTTCAGTGGCTAATAACGGTTGCCCCAAAATAATTGGAACTTCCTCATCGACTATGTAGTCAAGAATAATGAAATCAACGGGAAAGATTAACTTCCCCATTCGCACCAGCACATCTTCAATTATTTTTTCTAGCACTGCTAGTGACCGATCCGCTAGCTGTAGAGTTACATTCGTATGCCCATATGCTCCCAGTTTGAGCTGCTTGAAAATAGATAAAGGCATTAAATTAATGCTCGCTCCAAGATCGCACAAGGCTCTACTAGCCTCGTGTTTTTCAATCGCCAATGGAATTGTGAAACAACCTAGATCCTTCAACATGGGCGGGAGCTTACTTTGTACTCTAGCACTACACTCCTCAGTGAGTGTAACCGTTTTGAACTCTGTGAACCTTCTTTTATTGGCCATGATGTCTCTCAAGTACTTGGCACATTTAGGAACTTCTTGCAGCATTTCTATCAACAGTAGATTCACCCGTACCTGGCTCAATATATCTAAGAACTTTTTGTACTTGGACTCCTCTTTAAACTTTTGCAACCTTTGAGGAAAAGGAAATGGTGGCCTTACCTCTATCTCTTGCATGTGTTCGTCATCTTTCTTTTCAGTATCTACCTCTGTTTGACGTACCAATCTTTCAAAAACATCTTTAGGCACATACTTTTTAGGTGGCAGCTCCTCCAATACTTTTCCACTTCTTAGATTAATTGCTTGTACCTGTTCAATGGGATTTTTCTCAATATCACTTGGGAGTGCTCCAGTAGGTCGGGTATTTTTTTGTGCAGCTAACTTCCCAATCTGCCTTTCTAAATTTTGAAAATTAGTCCTCAACTGCTGGCAATTAACAGCCTTTTCAACATATCATTGGTGGTTTCTTCTACGTGAGGTGGTGGCTTTTGGGGCTGATTGTAGTTTCCTTGGGAGTCGTATTGATTTTGAGTAGCCTGATTTCCACCCGATGCAAAGTTCGGGTGATTCCTCTAGTTGGGAATATAAGTGTTCCCATATTGCGCATTTTGG